ACACGTCTATCTTATATTTAGAAAATTGGAAGCATTTGACTGCTTTAAGAGATATAAGACAGAAGTTAAAAACCAAATTAGAATGAAAATTAAAATTTTAGGAACTGATAGAGATAGGGAATATAACTCTAAACAAATTGAGAGTTATTGTATTCAACATGTAATTAAAAGACATATACAATAATACCGTATACACCACAACAGAATGGTGTTGCTGAAAGAAAAAACAGAACATTGCTGAATATAGTTAGATGCATGTTGTCTCATTCTGGTCTCTCCAAAAACTTTTAGGGAGAAGCAATGTTAAAAATTTTAACTACTAGTACAATCATAAATCTAATGTAAGATAATATATGATAATTAGAAAGAACCCTTAGACATCCACCTCTCCAATATCTTTGCCTGACGCATTTCAAAGTATTATCGTTTAACTGAATTGAGTGTTGAGAGATCCATCTTCGTGATATCGTCATCTTGTTTCTTCTGTTTTAGCTCTATTTTTGATTGGTGGTTTGCTTCATCCACGCGAAAGCCTCTCTTATGATGGACTTAGCGGACTCAGAGCTTTTCATATTTTGTTTCCTCTTGAGCTTTGCTGCTTTCCTCCCTTCAGGCCTTGCTATAACATCATTCAAGCCAATGTTCAACTCGATGGGGTTGCTGGAGAGGAATTGTTTGGTGAGAAATCAGAGTTTGTTGTTCTTCTCGATTGTGATCGAATCTTATTGTAAGTTTCAATCTGTTGGATCCATTTTTGATGATGACGCAACTCAACCCAGCAATGGTCAAACCCGAATGACTTACCATAAAGAGATTGGTATAATTCTTTTACTTCTGCAATCTACACAGGAGTTAAATTTTCAATAATTAAACATATGATGCTAATTTTCAATAATTAAACATATGATGCTATGGTGTTTACATAAAAGCATATAAGTTAAATATTTACCTGGTCAATAATTCCTGTACCAGATCTTTGTCTTCCTTCAATCTGAGCAACGCACCCGCAGAACTTGTTGACCGACAGTTGAATCGTTGACTAACGATGCATCATTTGGTTTGATGTGCGGCTCGTTGGGTCGGTGGAGTATTGAATAAAGTAGTCGTTATCTCTTTGTCAAAACTTATCTTTGTGTTGCCCCGTACCTTAGATGGCGTCTTGGCTCGTGTTCAGCCAAGCAGACACAAGAAGCTTATCCTCGTGGACAGTCCAATTTTCAGACCGCGTGTAAGCCTTCTTTTTTGTGGTCGGTGTTTCTTGGGATGACATTTGCTGTGTTGTCGATTGAGCGTACTCACGGATGGGGTGACCTTCAACTACGACATCTGTGTAGAACGGCGGGTAAAAGGCTGATCCTTCACCGGTGAAGAGTTGCGAGTAGAAGTTTTGGGAGGGATCCATGAGATTTGTAATTTGATATTTAAATATAGTTTTTTTTATGAGAGAGTTGTGTGGAATGATTTGTGTAGTGAAGTGAGAATTTATAGAATTTTTTTTTACTGTTCATTTTTTTAAATTTCAACGGCTATTTCTTAACGGCTACTTTCAAACTCTTTTTTTGCTTAAAGAATAACATAGTGTATTAGCTAGATGGATAGGTTTTTTATGTAAAAAAAAATTATTCACTGGGATCTCCCAAGCACTCCATTTGTGGAGCGCTTGGGAGCTCCAGTAGGCCCCACTAGCCACATCAGCCTTAAGAGGCTAGTTAGGAGCTTGTTGGAGCACCTCCAACAAGCTCACACCATCGCCTTAGCCTTAGGAGGTGGGGTGGGAGCTTGTTGGAGATGCTCTAAGTGTCAAAACTTATAGTAATAAAGAATATTTATTACTTTTATAGATGATTATTTCAAGTTTGCACACGTCTATCTTATATTTAGAAAATTGGAAGCATTTGACTGCTTTAAGAGATATAAGACAGAAGTTAAAAACCAAATTAGAATGAAAATTAAAATTTTAGGAACTGATAGAGATAGGGAATATAACTCTAAACAAATTGAGAGTTATTGTATTCAACATGTAATTAAAAGACATATACAATAATACCGTATACACCACAACAGAATGGTGTTGCTGAAAGAAAAAACAGAACATTGCTGAATATAGTTAGATGCATGTTGTCTCATTCTGGTCTCTCCAAAAACTTTTAGGGAGAAGCATTGTTAACTGCAAATTATATTTTAAATAGAATTTTCACTAAATTAGTTGTACCTACACCTTATGAATTATGGAATGAAAGGAAATCTAATCTGAGCCATCTCAAAAAGTGGGGATTTATAGTCCATATTCTCATTCTATATCAACTTAGAGATAAGTTGGATTTTAAAATAATAAAGTGTAGATTTATAGGATATTCAGAAAAGTTAAAAGGTTATAAGTTCAACAATAAAGAAAAATGGGTCATTGAAAGCAGAGATACTATATTTCTAAAAAATCTAGAGGAAGAAGAATAAGTTCAAGAGGAAACAGAACCTCTAATTGTAATAAATGATGATTATTACGGTATTGTTTTCACTAATGACCCATATATTGTGAATGAACCTAACTTTGAAAATGATGAAATATATAGAAAATAATGTACCTCATTAACCAGTTATAGGCAACAAAAGGCGAAGAACAAAACCTATATTGATGGATGACTACTATTTGCATTCATGTTAGCCATCTTGTTTTTCGGTAGATACAAATATATAGAAGAACAAGATCTCTTAATCTTCTCTGATGCAATGAAATCACATGAATCAGCTTTATGGCTAGAATCCATGAGAGAAGAACTTGATTCTATAAAAAAGAAAAGTATGAGAGTTATGTGATTTACCAAAAAATAGAAAAGCTATAGCATGCAAATGGGTGGTTAAAAAGAAATATCGTGTTGGTGGATCTATTGATAAATTAAAAGCATGGTTAGTTGCCAAGGATTTCAACTAGATGACAGGAATAGATTTTCAGAAAACATATTTTCCTATAGCTAAATTTACATCCATTAGAATTATTTTGGCTATTATTGTATATCTTAATTTGGAGTTATTCCAAATGAATGTTAAAATTACATTCCTTAACGGAGAGTTGAATGAAGCGATATATACGCAACAACCTGAATGTTTTCAAATAAAAGAACAGGAACATAAAGTTTACAAATTTATGAAATCTCTATATAGTTTAAACCAGTATTCTAGAAAATGGTATCTCAAATTTTATGATGCTGTCACTAAACTTGGTTTTATTCAAAATAAATTAGATAATTATATATGTTTTGAAAAGTGTGAGCAATTTTACTATATTGTCCTTATATGTGGATGATATATTGCTCGCCGGAAATGATATGAAAATGTTGAATAAAATCAAGGCAGATCTCAGCGAAAAGTTTGAGATGAAAGACATAGGAGATGCATCATATATTTTTGGAATTCAAATAATTCGAGATAGAAAGTCTAGAATGCTAAATCTAAACCAAAAAAAATATTTAAGGTCGGTTCTTAAAAGGTTTGGAATGGAGAATTTCAATCCGGCACCAACTCTGTTGGTCATGAGAAAGAGATTATGTAAAGAACAAAGCCCTAGAGAGGGGCAAAAGCTATTAAATGTTCCTTATGCTCAAGCAATTGGAAGATTGATGTATGCAATGTTGTGCATCAGACCTGATATAGCTTATTATATAGCTTATGATGTAAGTCTAGTCAGTCAATATCAAAGTAATCTAGGACCAACACATTGGGAAACTGTTAAAAAGATTATGAAGTATATCAGAGGTACATTGACTCATAGATTGATTTATCAAGCCGATTCGCTTGATCTCCTCGGTTACTCTCGATGCTGATTTCGAAGGTGATAAAGATGATGAAAAGTCCACTTCGGGACACTTTATTTTTAGAGGACGTGTTTCTTAGAGTAGCAAGAAACAATGATGTGTTGCTAGATACACGCAAGAAGCTGAATATATAGCTTACAGTATGACAACTACACATGCTGTCTGGAGAAGGGTTTTTGATAATGTAGATCTTAATTTGTTAGAAGGGTCTATTGACATTTATTGTGATAATTAAGTAGCGATTAGCTTGATCAATAGTGACGCGAATAGCTCCAAAGGAAAACACATTGAAATCCAGTATCACTATATTCGAGATATTGTAAAAATGGAGAAGTTAAAGTGACTTATATCTCTGCTACAGATATGATTGCTGATCCTTTAACAAAAGAAATATCAGCAGAGTTTTTTATTAAACATGTAAGTTTGATGGGGCTTAAAAATAAATAAGTCCAAGTAAAATTTCATGAATAATAAAATAAAAGTTACTCTTTATGGATAGTTGAAGTAATGGTAAGTAGAAATATGAATCTCACGGATAGTGGGAGTCATATCACTTGGTTAAATTGGTCAAGTGGGAGATGTTATTTTGACTTGGTCTTGTGTGATCAAATCAACTATTCTCAGTTGAGAGAATTGTGGGGGAAGTGAGTTGGTGAGAGAATCTCTCTCAAGAGGCAATAATTGAGGGGGTGGAGATGATGGGTAGCCTTTATAAATAGTGCAATATTTTCTTGAGAAGATATATGCACAGGAAAAAAAACCCTATTCTATCACCGGAGCCCCCTCAAAAGAAATCCCATCATTTTCTTTCTTCTCTGTTTCGTACACGATTACTATAAATTGGATGACTCAGTTATATTAGCTTCACATGAGCTCTGTAGCTATTGCTGAGTAATTAGAAATTCATGGCAAATTAGAAAGCATATATTAGTACTTCCTAAACTTTGTAACAGGAAAAATACAATTTCTCATTAGAAACGAAACTTGCCCAAGAGCAAAATGATGTTGGTTCTACAAGTAACAATATGACATATATAGTTGTATAGAACGAGCCTGATATGATCGGAACTGTTCTTATAAGAAAACATGTAGTGCAACTCCAGATCAAAATTGTTACACATTAACCTTTTTGCTGGTAAACAAAGTGAAGAATTTTCTCTCTTATGCAGTCTTATTATTATAAACTTGCAGGTTCGCAAGCGCTAGTCAGTCTTGTTTTGAGGAAGGAACTTTCTTCAGATTCTTTTTCATTGGTAGCTGAAGAGGTGCATGCCCCAACTCCTTGCATTTTGTATTGTCTTATGGTTTATTTAGGATAATTACCTGAAATTTAGGGGAGATGACTGTATATGGTAGTTTTTCTAGGATTCAGGAGACCTGCGGAAAGATGGTGCTAAAGAAACATTGAAACGCATCACGAAACTCGTCAATGATACTCTATCCGCAGATGGTACATATGACATTTCGTTATCTGATGATGATGTACTTGATGCCATTGATAGTGGCAAATCTGAAGGAGGTCCTGATGGACGACATTGGGTATTGGATCCTATAGATGGCACAAAAGGGTGAGAGTTGCAAATTGAGCATTAAGTTGTTATAAGACATTTTGCTCTAATGCTACAACAACAACAACCAAGCCTGTTATAGGTCATCTCCTCCGTTAAGTGAGTCCTAATCATATCCTTTTTAATTGCTTCTAACCAAGTTATTCTAAGTCTACCTCTAGATCTTCTAGCCCCATCAACTCTAATATTATCGCTTTTCCTAATCGGTGCACTAAGGGGTCTCTGTTGTACATGACCAAACCATCTTAATCTATGTGCAATTAGCCTTTATATAATTGGATTGATGCAGAAACTCGAGTGATTGCTAGATTTTAAACTACCTACTGCAACCTTTTGCTCTAATGCTGTAGTCTATAATTCCATGTTATGTTAGAATTTTCGTATTATTTTAGAATGAATTCTGGGTGATACTTTGATTTTGCATGATACTCATCGTGCATGAATATTGCTAATATTGGAAGGAAGTATATATTAAAGTTGCATTGCCTAATTGAAATCAGGTTTCTGAGAGGAGACCAGTATGCAATAGCCCTTGCTTTGCTTGACAAAGGAAAAGTAGTGTTGGGTGTCCTTGCATGTCCAAATCTTCCTCTAACATCAATTGCTGATTCTAACAAAAACACTCACGAAAGCCAAGTTGGTTGTCTTTTCTCTGCTAAAATCGGCACAGGATCATATATGCAGTCACTGGATGGTTCAGCTCCTACAAAGGTAGCCACAGGATATCACTTAAAGCATTCTCTTATATAAGAAACAAAATTTTCTTTGCTATATAATGTATCATTTCTTCTTTCAGGTGCATGTTAGCAATGTTGAGAATCCAGCTGATGCATCATTCTTCGAGTCCTTTGAAGCTGCTCATTCCCTGCATGATTTATCTAGCTCTATAGCTACGGTACTAGGGAATTACGTTACATCCTTCATATTTTGAGCTATATACACACATTGCATATAAATTTGATTTTTCTTATTTTTGAGCAGAAACTTGGTGTGCAAGCGCCACCTGTAAGAATTGATAGCCAAGCAAAATACGGTGCTCTGGCACGAGGAGATGGAGCCATTTATTTACGGTTCCCACATAAAGGCTACCGTGAGAAAATATGGGACCATGCAGCTGGTTGCATTGTAGTCACAGGTATGAGGAACCAGAACTTTGATTTTTGTTCTTCTTAAGGTATAATTGTGCCACTATGTTGCTTACGGTATCATTTTATAATCATTATGTAACGTATTACTTGTGCATAGACCCCCTGCTAGCACTGTGATTTGGAAGAACTTACTACTTGTGGTTTGATTTTGGCAAGTAGACCTTTCTAGTGAAATTTATTACTTTCTTAACCTTAAACAATGAGATAATTGTTGTTTAACAAATAAATTCCCTGAGGGTAAAAAAGATGAAAAAAATTCACTCTGGGGGTTATCTGTCAATATTAAATTACAGGGATAATAAGTTTCAAGTGCCGGACTACAGGGGTCTATGCGCAATTAGCCTTTATATAATGGGATTGATGCAGAAACTCAAGTGATTGCTAGATTTTTAAACTACCTACTGCAAACATTTCGCAGAAGCTGGTGGAATAGCGACTGACGCTGCAGGAAACGATTTGGATTTCTCAAAAGGGAGGTTTCTCGATCTCGATACAGGAATTATTGTCACCAACAAGAAGCTAATGCCATCGCTCTTGAATGCAGTACAAGCTTCTCTCAAGGAACAAGCGCAAACTGCTTCACCTTTGTAATCAATTTTCTTCGCGAAACATTTCTTCAGGCTCTTATATCTAGAATTTTAGAGTCAATCTCGTTCTCTTTTTGTCTAATAATGAATTTGGTATTTTTTGCCCCCACATTTATGTTGTATTATGTGGATGATCATTTTTGTTTGGCTCTTTGAAGACTGATTACTCAAAATTATGTGTTCCTGTCATCTTTTGTTAGCGTGCGGTTCTGTTGAAGGTTACGATTTTATTATGTGATAATCTACTTAATTCACATATACGAACTTAGAGTTTTGAGTTTCTAGTTGTAATTGGATTTACGAAATAATTAGAAGATATATGGAAACCTTTTGATCTCATGGAACAACAATATATCACGAGCGAAAAGAACCAAATTGTAAGATCATATATTAGCATTGTTGTGCCTGAAGCTGTGTCGAGGAACCAAACCAAACGCCAATCCAAGAGAGCCAAACGAACCAAATATCAATGCACAAACAAAACACCAATTTTAACGTGGTTCGGCAAGTTGCCTACGTCCACGGGGCAAGGGGGATGGGGTTTTCACTAATAGAGAAAGAGTACAAACTGAGATTACAAATCACTCGAAGGAACAAACTAATCTCACCAACAAAACTCTTAATCTCTCCAAATAAAACCCTAAACGAATAGCTCAAAAATACCTCTTTTTGTGCTCCAAATAGCCCCCAATCAATGCTTAATCAAAGCCTAAACCAAGCCTAGGAAACCCTAAAAAACGTGTCTCTATTTATAGCAAAACACAATCCCAAACTGATTGGGATTCTAAAAACGAGTCTGCCACACCCTGCACCATGGGTGTGGCAGAGGGTGTGGTGCAGGACAGATTCTACCACACCCATGGCAGACGGAGTGCGAACACTCACCCAAACGTCGGTATCTACTCACCAAATCGGCTGCATCAAAACTGACTGCCTATGTATCATCTTGCCCAAGGAATCAAGCCTTCACGTAGTTCACCCAAACGTCGGTATCTACTCACCAAATCGGCTGCATCAAAACTGACTGCCTACGTATCCTCTTGCCCAAGGAATCAAGCCTTCACGTAGTTCACCCAAACGGCCTCCAAAGGCCCTCAAACAAATAGAAAAGTCTGCAACTCTTCCCCAATATCGCCAACGGATCTGCAACTAATAGCGGCCCCAAACTGATACAAATCAAACACCTCCATTTGAGGTGAACCAATGGCCATGTCCAAACTGCGCCTATCAGCTGCACTCAAATCAATCAACACGTCATCTGCATCCAAAACCAAATGATCTTCACGCTGTGTCACCTCAGCTGAAGTCCCAAATAATACAGAATGACCTGGAGTATGTGGAGTACAAATGACGCAGTATGATCTGGAGTATGTGGAGTAATCTCCACCCAACGTGGAGTAGCATCACTCTCCACCTGCTGCGATATCCAAATGACCTGATCAACACTCTCCACCTGCCGAGAGTCAAAAGTGACATACCTGCTCAGAACAAAATCAGAAGCTCCCAAACGATAATCAACTGAGCCTCCGAACCCCAAACGCGCAATCGGATCCAATCTCACATCCACGATGTGACCAAATGCTGGGTATCCAAATATCCGACGCGACCCAAAATCTGAAGCAGCTCCACCAGATCTAATAACTCCTAAAGCAGCAGTCGGCGACCTATGCATAAGATGACCCAAATATGTCGAAGCCCGCACACCAATGCCAATGCTCGACATCAAACGCCGATCCTCCTCCAGAAAGGAACGACCCATCGAAACTGTCATCTCATCTCGTCGCCCCAAAGTCTCCACACCAATGAAGTGTCTCCTATTGCCGTGAGCTCGGCACCAACGCAAGAAAGGACCCCTACCAAAGCTGAAACAATGAGTTACCTTTCTGCCAATACACTTCTTCCAATTGTTGTTGACTTCTAGGACTTTACACCAACGGGAACTGGTCGCGACCCAATAATGCCTAGAACAATCACCAACTGTGGAAACCAAGATACGATTACCTCCCAATGATGCCTCCTTGGAAGGCCCCCAAATGCCTGACTGAACACCTCCAAAAAGACCCCTCGCTCGATGGATAGAAGTGCCAAACTCCACCACGGTCTCGCTCATCCTAATGTGCTCACAGGACTTCAATCTGCAGGTCATAGCACTCCTCAACAACCAATGCACGGTATTACCAATCATATACCCCAGCACCAAACAATGCCACAGTCTAGCCGAATCTGATGAAGTCGTCATTTCCCTATCAATCACCGTGCTTCCGTGCAAATAATACAAATTTCTTCTTCTGACGCCCTTCATCACAATCATGGACCCAAATGTAACCTTCAAGCGTGCATCCGCCAAGGTCACCCTATAGCCTGCTGCCTCCAAAGCTCCAAGTGAAATGATGTTCTTCTTCAACTGAGGAACGAACCTCACTCCAACCAACTCCCGAATCATCCCGTCACTCATCCTGATCCGAACAGTACCGATACCACCAATAGAGAATTTGTGATCATTCCCCATGAGCACGAAATCCCCTCTTTCCAACTCCTGAAAGCTGGAGAACCAATCCCTCCTAGGGCAAATGTGGTATGTAGCCCCCGAATCCAACATCCACTCTGTAGAGTAGACAACACAAACTGACGGCAGTGCAGATAATGAGTAGCCCGAAGAATCCGAATCTGAATCGTTGCCACTAGCCTTGACAACATTCGCCTCTGAAGCTTGAATAGCTTTTCCCTTATTCTTCCCGGCTCGATCAACTAACTTTGGGCATTCGGCTTTCCAATGTCCATCCTCTTTGCAAAAGGCACACTGATTCTTACGAACTCCAAAATGTGCCCCTCTAGACTGCGACCTCCCACTACGGTTTGGACTCTTTGCTCTTGCGACCAACGCCCCTGCTACCGGCTCAATCGAAGTCTCCTTATCCTTCTTTCGAAGCTGATAATTCACAAGTGCAGCGGTGACCTCACTATACGAAAGAGATGCCTCCCCATTAATAAGAGTAAGAACGAAGGTCACCACATCTACATTCGTCAAATCCGCAAGAAGCTTCGTGTAGTGGTTCATGTGATCACCAATGGAGGTTCCTTTCTTCAACTGGAAGCGGTAAAGCCTCCTCTTCAAATGCAAGCGATTCTCCACACTCTTGGTTAAATACTTGCTCTCAAGGATCTCCCAAATCTTATTTGCAGAAGTCTCATTGATCACATCATATTTTAGATCTTGAGTGAGACAAGACCTAATCACACCACACACCGTTCGATTTATCTTTTTCCAAACCTTCTCATCAATATTGTCCGGTTTCCCGTCCAACTCTAACGTATCTTCCAAATTTTGCGCGTTGAGCGCATCCATGACTTCGCATCGCCAAAGTCCAAAATTGTTTGTGTCATTGAACTTTTCCACGTCAATCTTCATCGAGTGGATATTCAAGCTTTGGACGGTCTTCACGCCGGAAGTACTGCCCACAACTCCTTCTTTCTCGGCCATAATCCTCAAAGCACCACCAAACCAATGCGGAAACAAACGAGAAATAGATCCAAACTAAAAATGACGAGATTTTTACCAAAAAGATCCCACATTTATCACCAAACGAAGCCCTAGATGAACTTCCAAAGCGATCTACTCCTCCAAATAGCCCAAGCGTAGCCCGAGCTCTGATACCAATTGTTGTGCCTGAAGCTGTGTCGAGGAACCAAACCAAACGCTAATCCAAGAGAGCCAAACGAACCAAATATCAATGCACAAACAAAACACCAATTTTAACGTGGTTCAGCAAGTTGCCTACGTCCACGGGGCAAGGGGGGATGGGGTTTTCACTAATAGAGAAAGAGTACAAACTGAGATTACAATACGCTCAAAGGAACAAACTAATCTCACCACAAAGCTCTTAATCTCTTCAAATAAAACCCTAAACAAATAGCTCAAAAATACCTCTTTTTGTGCTCCAAATAGCCCCCAATCAATGCTTAATCAAAGCCTAAACCAAGCCTTGGAAACCCTAAAAACATGTCTCTATTTATAGCAAAACACAATCCCAAACTGATTGGGATTCTAAAAACGAGTCTGCCACACCCTGCACCATGGGTGTGGCAGAGGGTGTGGTGCAGGACAGATTCTACCACACCCGTGGTGCAGGACAGATTCTACCACACCCATGGCAGACACCACACCAGGGTGTGGTGGAGTCTGTTTTGGGTTATTCTTCACGTTTTTCACAATTCCTTCGCCGTTTTCACAAGCTGTGGAATTAGAACTAGACTGAGATAAGCGTGAAAGGGAAATTATTCACTGGACAATATTTCATTGGCAAATCTTTGGATCGATGTATTAATCCTCCATCTTCAAGATGCAAACATTAGCATGTTGTTAGCTTCAATATAAAATAAGCAAACGTACGGTGTTATATGAAACCTGATCAAGAATCAAACTCTCAACACTCTATCACTGATTCACATTGGGCATAAATATGAACACTACAACGTAAACTACTAAAAAGATCCCCAACACTATACACGAAGCTTGCATTAATGAGCTCAGTTCGACGGAAAAAACTCCGCCGGGGGGTATCACAATCCCAGCAATAAGTCCACCAAATACTCAACGGCGCCGCTATTAATCAAGAATCGAAGATAAGCTTCTTCGTCTTCTCTGCGAGCATCGTCGTGTTTGAAAACGAACCCGAGCCTCGTCAGTTCTTCCCTGCTATCTTCATCGTTGAACTCAAGAATTTCACGAAGCTTCATAGAATCCTCACTGACGAAACCGAGCTCATGCATGTCCGCAGCTTTCGGAAGAGAGAACTCGGGGGAAGACTCGTCGACGAATCCGAACTCTACCAAATCTCTAGCTTCAGGGAGAGAGATCCCCATACTTGAATCGGTTGAGCGGGAGGAGAACAAGAATAATGCTTGTCCAGAAGCTGCAGGCTCTAAACCCTGCTTAATTATATATATATAGATTCTTAACTAAAGTTCCTAATTGGATTTAGAATAGGAGACCAATATTATCAAGAATAGATAAGATGAGAGTTAAGACTTGATCTAAAATATTATCTTCTTATGTTTGAACTTTCCTAAATTGTAATTGCGTTTGTATTTATTTAAACTTGAAGAACTTATTTGTGGTAACTTTAAATTTTGAACCAGATAAGTATATAAGGATTCTTGTTTTGATATAACTTCTCTCCAATACTTGTTTGTGAGTCTATGCATGTTTATATTTTAAATTATGGCATTGTTTTTAGCTAAGAATTCTAATTTGATAATGGGTGTATTTAAGAAAACAGTGTGCGTTTCGAAAAATTTCTAGTGAATTTCATTGGCCTTTTCGTGTATTAATTTTCATCGTTCTGACAAATCTAATTACACACTTAAAATCTTATACTTAGCAATCTCCCCTCCCCCCTCTACTACTGTCCTAAATCTTTCATATTTTAAAATTAGTCACTCAAGTTATTGAAACTGTCATGAGGTCCTCCGATCTTAAGGTAATTGAAAACTAGTCCCTTAAGTCTTCATATTTATAACTTTGTCCATCAAACTATTAGAATTGCTATTAGGTACCTCAATTCTCATGCGTTGTTCCAAATTGATACCTTTAATTCCTACTTCTGCTCTTGATTGGAGACTAACTCAAGATGATTTAAAAATTGTGGCAATTAGTAACAATATCAATTATTTGTGGGACTAATTTTGGAAGAGCTTAAGAACTGGGGGACTTGAAGGCAATTTCAATAACTTAAGCAACTAATTTCAAAGGGATTGGGGTTAAGTCTAGGTACAGTATAATTATAAGAACTAATAGAAAGATCATATATTAATCGCAGTGCGATTAGATGAGACAAGAGTATGGAAATAAATTATTGCATTGCGTTGAAAAATCTTTGGACAAGGCGATTTCTGGTTATATGCAAATTTTAATATGCGCTTATATTTTGAAACTAGTCCCTCAAATCTGTGAAATTGCAATTGTGTCCGCCAATTCTCATATCTTGCTAACACTACATTTGACAAGAATGAATAATTTGAAACAACTTATAAACATTGCATATTGGTGAGCCTATTTATAATTCCCACGCTATGAATTGAGTCGCTAACTTTAGAGCAACTTATATGAATTGGGGGACCTAATAGCAACTTCAATGATTTGGGAGACTAATGTCAACATATTATAATTTAAGGGACTAATATCAAAAACTCCCTTTAATATTTTGTAAACTTTAATCCAATAAGAAACAACATGCCAAACTTCAAGAATCAAACGCAAAGAAAAATATGTAATACAAAAAAATTTATTACCAACTAAAAACTGATAAGATGAACTCAAGATTTTGACATTAACACCCATTTTCTAGCATACACTCATAACTCAAGACTTTACAGATGCAAACTTAAAGTACTAACAAAAGACCCCTAAAACTCAAATAGATGACAATATCATCTTATTTAGTCCTGGGCAATCCAAGTGACTGAAGAAGTTCATGAAAAATATCAAGCATCTCTTTGACATAATCATCAACAAAAGCTTGTTAATCTTCTTCTTAATTTTTGAGCATATTCATCTTATTTAAATACAAATCCGAGCTTCATCTAATCTTTCTTGATGCCTCCATCCTGAAATCAAGATTGTCAGATTTGTTGCTTTGAAAACAAATCCTAGGTTCTTTAAATATTGCTCTATATCTTCATAATTGAAGGATGAAGATATACTTGTTATTAGTAATTTATTAGTTTCTTCCAATATCACAAGTATAATACATGCATTTGGACTCCGTTATTCAACTATTTATACTATAATAATCTTAATTATGCTTTCATATATATGCAGAACACACTCTCCGAGTATTACTCAACTACTAGTGTGTACCCCGTGCAAAGCACGGCCCCCTGTTTTTTTAAGCATTGCATTTTGAACATGCATCACTCTTAAGGTTTAATACATTTGATTTGATTATTGTATGTTTAAAATTAGAAATCATATCTAAGGACGTTTAATACATTTAATTTGATTATTGTATGCCTCCCTCTAAGGACCCAAAAGTTTACTATTCATGATATAGTAATTTACTGTATTATTTACTGTAGCATAAACAACAAACATCTGGATCATTCTTCAAGTATAGAGGAGTACATATATATCTAATTTTGCTTAGAGAGAGAGTGAAAATGGTGAGGATTAACTTTCAATATTACTCGCATTTAAAGATACGTTACCCAAAGTAATGAATAGTGCCATTGCCATGAAAGTTGCATGCAAAATCCGTGAAGAACCTAACCACTTGGTAAGGTCAAGACAAAGCAAACTTTTTTCTTGTCGTGTGTAATTAATTTATTAAGAAATTTGCGTTGTGAATAACTGGGATTATTGTGTCTTAGGTGTAAATGGAATGTTTTTAGTATCTAAATGATTCACTTCCAAATCTAATTAGGGTGATGAGTTTCTGAATAAAGTTTGAGCATATCGATTTCCATTTTGGCATTATATTTATAATTAGAGATGTCAAGAAAAGAAACTATTATTTAATTTATGTACTACATTTGTATATCAAAATTTTCTCTAGCTTCTTCATTCTGTTAAGTCCCTTCACAATTTGCGCCAAACAAGATTAATTTCATATATAGCTATCATATAAATAGTTTATTTCTACATGATTGCAGTATCCAAAAATATTTTGGGGTCTTGAACGCTGTGTTTAGGTGCTTACAAATTTATTTCTGGCTGATTCTACAAGCACCCATCTGAAATTTCTCAATGATGAGCAAAAGTTTTCTTCATCTTTATCAGTATTTCCACCGGCTGATACTAAATATAAATAAAATAAAATGAAAGATGTATTATCATATTCTTTGAAGATGTATTATTATATTTTGTACTTATTTAAAATGTCATCATAATTTACATTTACCCCCAGTGAACAGATTCAAATCTCTCTCTCTCTCTCTCTGCCCTGCCATGAACTTAACCAATTATGAACTAATTAATAAACCAAACTTTGAGAGCTTGGATTTACAACAATATCTGTGATACATACAGATACACACACCGTTGACAGCTAAACCGGAACATCTGCTGGATAATCCGCCGGATGCTTCTTGATCGTCTCTCGCAACGATTTCTCTTGCTCGCGGAGATTAGAAGGAACGGTATCATATACATCGGTAAATAGTTCGCTCAACGGAGGTTTTGGTGATCTTTCTGCAACCTGAATGCACTGCAAAAGCTGCGGATATTGCAGTATTAGTTACCGTTCGCATGGTGCACGAAATATGTGTTAGCGCATGTGGTTAAATCTGGAATAATACAGATATAAAGCAGCAAATAACTAAAAGAAATCTGAAGTATAGTAATTTAGAATTTTCCAACTCAGCTGATGTGCGTTTGTAAAACGCTATGCTTAAAGCATTATTTGGCCTACTCCGGTGCAAGGATCCCAAGGCCAAATTACTTCCAGGAACAGCAGTCCAGTACTCTGGTGTGCACCAACCCAGTACTGTCAAGACCTCCTCGATCTATAAGGCAAAGATCTCCTCGATCTATCAGGCAAAAGATCTCCTCGATCTCCTCAGGCAAAGATCTCCTCGATCTATCAGACCTTCTCGGTCTAGGCACTGTTCCTACTAGCATTAGCTATTCTACAATATATATCTGTATATATTGATTGTTGTTTTTGGAATGAATTTTCCTTAAGGATTTGGGATCTATTTATAGCGTTTGGAAAAATACTATGCACTAATAAAATATTATTAGTTACTATTCATGTGGGGCCCACATTACTTGTTTTTCAAAATAAATTAGGCAGATGTTGAATCCTTGCAAAAAAGTTAATCACGTTTATTTTACTGTTCATTAATTTCAAAGATGTCTGCACCGTCCTCTCATATTTCAAAAGAAGTTAGGCTAAAAGGTTTGTGGGACCCACTAGTATTAAAAAAAATTATCTAACAAACCCCCACAAGTTTTTTTAAAACTAGTGTCATGTAATAGTACCGTTGTTTCAATCATTGTGCGTAAGGAAGATGTCGCAAGGACTTGAATCCCCTTTAGATCAACTGAATAAAAAGATAGGTGCATGGTGTCACAGAGACTTGAACCAGCACATGTCTAAAAATTCAGCGATCACATAAGATCAAACTTATCTGTGGTAGTTTTCACTTTGAACCACACTTGTTTTTGCCTTTGCCTTTGCCTTTGCACATTTATGGCCCTGTGCATGTCCTGGTTTCTGCTAGGGCTCTAGGTATCTTTCCACAAGACACCATAGGAGACGGCCAAATCTCCACCCATGTATAGGTGAGTTCTTTAGGCATGTTTCCTATCAAACATCCCGCATCCGAAATGCTTTGAACTCATTAAGGCTTAAGAGCCATCCTCTCTCATGATAGGATTCTAGGTGAGTCCTTTAGGTGTGTTTCCTATCTAACACCCCGCATCCGAAATGCTTTGGACTCATTAAGGCTTAACAGCCATCCCCTTTACATTATAGGATTTTAGGTGAAAAGATCAAAGTTTTACTCGGGTAGTTCAGCCAGGTAAGGATAGTATTAGAGGTTGATCAAAGATCAATTAAGTACCTCGTTCCTTGCAGAGCGCGTTACGCAACCCCTAAACCTTACCTTAGACACCGACTAATCCAAGAAAACTTGAACTCTTTCACTTGTAAATCTTACTTGACTTTTGAACCATTTATCTTGTCATTAGTAGCAAGACATTTAGTCAAAGGATCAGCCACATTCTCTGAAGATCGGACGTCAATCATAGAGATGACTCCTTGACAAATGAGCTCTCTCAAATAGCCATGCTTCAGACGAATGGTCCGCTTCTTTCCATTGAACAACGAGTTTGCTGCCACAACACTCGCCGCCTGATTATCACAATAGATAGTAATTGTGCCTTGCAATCCTGTCAATGGAAGGTCTCGGAGAATACAACTGAGCCACTCAGCTTCATCTCCTGCAACACAAAGTGCGAAGAACTCAGATTCCATCGATGACTGTGCAATCATTGTCTGCTTCTTAGACTTCCACGAGACAGTAGATCTGCACTCATCTGGTTCTGAGCACCAGCTCGCATCTGAATAGCCTTCGATTACACCCGGATATCCAGTGTAGAATAGGCCCAGACCTATAGTTCCTTTTAAGTATCTCATCAATCTCTGGACAGCATCCCAATGAAGCTTTCCAGGATTACTTGTGAATCTACTAAGCATTCCTACAGCGAATGCAATGTCTGACCTTGTGCAGCTCATCGCGTACATGAGACTCCCAATGATCTTTGAGTACCTCAGCTGCTCTACTGGTCTTTCAGTGTTCGGTCGAAGCTTCTTGTTGTAATCATACGGCACTGACAGTTCTGACAGGTCGTAGTAGCCATACTTCCTTAGCATGCTCTCGACATAATGAGATTGGGATAATCCAATACCCTCTTCAGAGTATATGATTTTGATTCCGAGAATCACGTCCGCAGTTCCAAGGTCCTTCAGAGTATATGATTTTGATTCCGAGAATCACGTCCGCAGTTCCAAGGTCCTTCATGTTGAACTGTGCCGAGAGAAATTTCTTGGTAGATGTTACTATCTCCAAATCACTCCCGATGATGAGCATATCATCCACATAAAGGCAAATAACCACCACCTTTCTTTCAGCGACCTTGATGTATAGGCACTTGTCAGATTCACTGACTTGATACCCATTGTTGCGAACAACCCCATCGAACTTCTCATGCTAGAGTTTTGGTGCCTGCTTAAGTCCATATAAAGACTTAACAACTTTACAAACCTTACCAGCTGGAGCATCAAGTCCTTCTGGTTTCTCCATGTAGATCTCTTCTGTGAGATCACCATTGAGAAATGCAGTCTTCACATCCATCTGATGTATGACGAACCTTTTAATCGCTGCCCATGCGATAAGCACTCTGATGGTAGTGATCCTGCAAACTGGTGCATAAATATCAAAGAAGTCTATACCTTCTTTCTGAGAGAATCCTTTAGCCACCAGTCTTGCTTTGTACTTTTCAATAGTACCATCAGGACGGAGCTTCTTCTTGAAGATCCATTTGCAGCTGATAGGCCTTGCACCTTCAGGTACGTCCACCAGCTCCCAAGTGTGATTTTGGATTAATGAATCCATCTCATCATCTATAGCTTCTTTCCACAGAAGAACGTCTGTTGACTGCATTGCTTCTTGAAAAGTCTGTGGATCTCCTTCCACATTATAGGTGATGAAGTCATCTCCAAAATCTTTCTGTCTTCTGACGCGCTTGGAAGATGGTTCGATAACTCTTTCATCATTGACTGGCTCCTCTTGTGCATCTGATGTACTAGCATTCTCTGCTACATCCTTGAGCAATAAGCCTTTATCTTTGATAAACTTATCCTCAAAGAATTCTGCATCCCGAGCTTCAATGATGGAGTTGGTTCTAATGTCCAGGAACCTGCATGCATTGCTATCTTCAGCGAAGCCAAGAAACACACATTTATTTGCCTTTGGTCCGAGCTTAGGCCTTCTGATATCTGGTATTCGAACGTATACGAGACACCCCCACACTTTGAGATTATCCAAAGAATCTGGATATCCCAACCATAACTGATGAGGGGTATTATCAGTTTTGGAGTAGGGTACTCTGTTCAGAATCCAGTTTGCCATTAGTAAAGCCTCTCCCCAATAGCAGGTAGGTAGACCAGATGTGATTAGCATCGAATTCACCATCTCGGTCAATGTGCGATTCTTCCTTTCTGCAATCCCATTAGATTGCGGAGAATAAGGAGCAGTAGTTTCAGCAATGATTCCATGCTCCTTGAAGTATGCTTCCGACTCCTTAGATCGGTACTCTCCTCCTCTGTCACTCCTGAGTCTTTTCACCTGCAGTCCAAGTTGCTTCTCCACCCGAGTCCGAAACTCAACAAATTTGCTGAAGGCTTCATCTTTAGATTTCAGCAGGTAAACGTGGCAGAAGCGAGAATGGTCGTCGATGAAGGTGATGAAGTACTTCTTGCCGCCACGAGTGACGAAGCTTTTGAAGTCACAAGTATCCGAATGAATCAGATCCAATAGGTTGGTGCTCCTCGTAACACTTGAAAATGGCTTCCTTGTTAGCTTTGCTTGCGCGCAAACTTCACACTTCTCAGGTTTGTTACCCCCACATTTTGGAAGTAATCCTAACTTCTCCATGCTGGACAGTTTTCTATAATTTACATGTCCCAGCCTATTGTGCCATAACACAGAGGAGTAAGCAGAAGAGGATACTTTATTTACAACGGGGTTGGGTGCACTCGTACTGATTTTATACATGCCATCAGTACGATATGCATTGCCAAAATACATTTTCTTGAAGGATAATATAGCCTTTCCTCCTTGAAAATCCAGCCCCATGCCTGCATCACACAGCATGCTTCCAGAGACTAAATTTTTGGCAATTGAGGGAACGTGTTTCACATCCTTCAGTGTGAGAGTCTTTCCCGAAGAAAGAGTCAGCACCACAGTCCCCGTTCCAAGAACAGGAACCACAGAACGATCAGCCATTGATACGTTCTCTTTAGTAGCAACATAAGAAGAGAACATATCTCTATTGGAGCATACATGACAAGTAGCACCCGTATCTAACCACCAACTAGAGATGTTGCTTGGAGTTGTTACCTGGAAGAGCATAGCCACACAATCACCAACTTGATTGACATTGTGCGTTGTTTCCTTCTTTGGTGCTTTGCAGTCTTTGGCAAAATATCCTTGCTTCCCACAGTTGAAGCATTTGCCGCTCTTCTTGAACTCCTTCTTTTGAACGTTCAGGTTCTTCGGATTTTGGTTCTTCCTTCTATTAAAAGACTTCTTCTTCTTGAAAGATGAATAATTACCCTTTTCAGAGTTAGCCGCCACCATGTTAGCAGACGCCTTCTGCTTAGCAAGTAGCTCAGTCTTCGTGCGAGTCCGAGTCTCGTCCTCGATCCGGATGAACCTCTTCAAGTCAGACAGAGTCACCTGTCTTTTCCTTCTTCGAATGTCAGTGGAGAATGATATCCAAGATGGAGGAAGCTTGTTGACAATTGCACCAGAGATGAAGGTTTGACAAAGACTGATTTTTTCATCCTTCAGCTTCATAACAAGCTTTTCAAGCTCTTTGACTTGAGGTAAAACCTCAGTATCATCTTCAAACTTCAAGTCCAGAAACTTGTCAATAAGGTGAGATTTGGACAGCTTCTCCTCATCCTTGTACTGGTCCTCCAGAGCATTCCAGATTTTCTTTGCAGAAGGCTTGTTGGTGTAAGCATCTGCTAGATGATCAGCCAGACAATTAAGGAGATAACTCCTGCAGAAGTGATCATCTTTAGCCCAAGAGGCTTCAGCTTCAGAGTCTTCTTTAGAGTCGGATTTTTCCTCAGAAACCACATAGTAGATTTTCAGGAGTTGCATCCCGAAGATTACTTTCCGACGCCATGCGTTGAAGTTGGAACCGTCAAAATTCTCTAATTTAAGACAGTCCACTCCAAGAGTCCTCGCAGGATCCATGGTAGATTACAAATAATGCTTTAAGATTGTTAGCGCCTGTGGTTAAATCTGGAATAATACAGATATAAAGCAGCAAATAACTAAAAGAAATCTGAAGTATAGTAATTTAGAATTTTCCAACTCAGCTGCTGTGCGTTTGTAAAACGCTGTGCTTAAAGCATTATTTGGCCTACTCCGGTGCAAGGATCCCAATGCCAAATTGCTTCCAGGAACAGCAGTCCAGTACTCTGGTGTGCACCAACCCAGTACTGTCAAGACCTCCTCGATTTATAAGGCAAAGATCTCCTCGATCTATCAAGCAAAAGATCTCCTCGATCTCCTCAGGCAAAGATCTCCTCGATCTATCAGACCTTCTCGGTCTAGGCACTTCCTCAGGCAAAGATCTCCTCGATCTATCAGACCTTCTCGGTCTAGGCACTGTTCCTACTAGCACTAGCTATTCTACAATATATATCAGACCTTCTCGGTCTAGGCACTGTTCCTACTAGCACTAGCTATTCTACAATATATATCTGTATATATTGGTTGTTGTTTTTGGAATGAATTTTCCTTAAGGATTTGGGATCTATTTATAGCGTTTGGAAAAACACTATGCACTAATAAAATATTATTAGTTACTATTCATGTGGGGCCCACATTACTTGTTTTTCAAAATAAATTAGGCAGATGTTGAATCCTTGCAAAAAAGTTAATCACGTTTATTTTACTGTTCATTAATTTCAAAGATGTCTGCACCGTCCTCTCATATTTCAAAAGAAGTTAGGCTAAAAGGTTTGTGGGACCCACTAGTATTAAAAAAATTATCTAACAATATGTTGGGTAAATTTCACAAAACCCCGCTGAACTACGGGGATTTTTGCACAAACCCCCTCAGTATAAACCATCGAAGACTCTCTGACCTTGTATCACTTAAGTACTATGACTCTACCTGCCACTGCTGTTTATGAGAATTTTAATAGTTCAGTGAGGTTAGTATAATTTCGAAAGTTCAGGTGGATGTCTGTAGTTTATAGAGTTCAACGGGGTTTACTATAATTTACCCAAACATGTACAATTGAAAGATAAAAACTAGATTTCCGGCACCTCTTTTCTGACATTGTTCCTCAACTCAGATTCAGCATCATCGTTCCACCATCCATTGCTTTCCACCCATTTTCGATACCTCGAAACAGGATCTCTCGCTGTTCTCCAATGCTCGATCTCATCAACTGATCGATACTTTGTTGAATCATCAGATGTTGAATGGTGCCCAGCTCTATATGTTAATGCCTAAGGCAAAAACTCAGGCTTAGAGGGGGGAAAAAATGAAAGAATACAAGAAGGAAGATTACACACCTCAATTAGAATAGGCCTATTTTCTCTAATGGCCATTTCTCTGGCAGCATGAACCGCACAATAAACAGCAAGAGCATCGTTTCCATCTATACGAATGCTTCGAATTCCATAAGCTTGACCTTTAATAACAGCACCATCACCTTATAAAACACAACGTCAGTAAGTGATCGGTCTCTCTTATGTGAAGTAATACATTGCAGCGGGTAAAAAAAGGTGATAAAATTATTACTTCGAAATTGCTCTGAAGTAGGGGTACTGATTGCCCAACCATTGTTTCGGCAAAAGAAGATGACAGGAACTTCCATCACGGCAGCAAAGTTCAATGCAGCATGGAAATCTCCCTAGCAAGTTACAATAGGTTTTAGAGAGGGAAAATGAACAACTAAAAAAATCCAAGGAAAAAAGGAGTGTGTGCGCTCACACACATACACATAAAATTCTCATATGGTTCGTAAGAATCACAACATCCTCCAAACTTTTAATAATGGCACATTTCACCTGCACATCGTGCAAAACACGGCCTCCATTTTTTTATTTCCGGTACAGTAATTCTGTATTTAAATATAATTTTTGTAAGTGTTACACTAACATTTTTAAATGCAACAGTATCTCGCCTAAGCTACAGTAATAATACCACAGTAATGTTTTCAAATGCTACAATTAAGCCTGTGCTACAGTAACAATTCAACAGTGATTTATTCCATGTATGTGCTGCAGTAACAATACTATAGTGATTTACTGCATTGTTTGTTGTAATATGAATAGTGAATCTTGGGTCCTCTCATTATTATAGAGGAATAGATAACAGTCACTTGTTAATATCACTCGTATATACGACCACAGTTTTTCCATCCAAGGTTTACTTTCACAGAAATCAAAACAGAAGGATTTTCTGCAATTTCCCTTAAAGTTTACATATGATACCTGACTTGTGCCTCCATCTCCAAAGTAGGTGATACTGCAGGCATTTTTCTTGTCCATCTTCAGCGAATAAGCAGCTCCAACAGCTTGAGGGAGCTGTGTACTGAGAAATTTAACACGCAATTAAGTCTAAAAACATAACAATTCAATTCTTTTATGATACATAAGTTCACAAAGAGGGAAAATTTTAATTACTCACGCTATAGGAGACGATACTGTGAAATATTTGAGCCTGTCGCTTCCATAATGAATTGGCATCTGCCGACCTTTTCCGTAGTCTGATTTGTTGCCGAAGTTCTGGTTTGCAAACTCTTGCAGGGTAAAACCTCGCCATAAAATGACTCCATGTTCCCTATACTAGAGATGAAGGCAATGTTTCCTATGATATCGAAAAGATAAATGTTCCTTCGACGATTATGAGAGGAGATGTATTATGGTTACCTAGTCTTCTAACCTGTGGAAAGACGATATCATCGTTAGTTAATGCAGCTGCAGATGCGATGTTGATGGCTTCTTCTCCATTGCAGGTAAGGTAGAAAGAAATTCTTCCTTGTCTCTGAGCTTCATAGAAGATGGCATCCATAATTTGGAGGGTAACCATCTGACTGTACATTTTTACTCCAAGCTCCCTGGTTACCTTCAAGATTTTGCAAGTGTATCAAAAACATCTTTGCCTAACTACATAATTCCTTGCCTTGCATAAGCTTTTAGGTTGAATTTCACAAAACCCCACGAATTTTGGGGGTTGGCATAAAACCCCCTAAGATTTAAAAATTAGAGAAAGCCCTCATAACTTTTGGAGAGGGTCACAAAATCCACCAAAACACAAAAACCTCCAACCAAATTTCGAAGCAAATTCAGTCGTAAGGTTTGTCAGGAAAAAGAGGATAGAGGGGCGGACAAAAGAAGGGGAAGTTTTTTTTAAGGGCTTGTTTGGATTGAGGGGAATGAGGGTGAAGGGAAGTTAGGGGAGCCATTCACCTTGTTTGGGAACATTTAGGAGGTGAAGTTATTCACTCTAGTTCCCCTTGGTTCACCCCCCTAATAGTATCAAATTTGTTACCCCTCAAATTGGGGTGTAACCAAGGGGAAGGGAACTCCCTTCCCTTCCCTTCCATTCTCTCACCTGGGTGTAACCAAGGGGAAGGGAACTCTCTTCCCTTCCCTTCCATTCTCTCACCTAGTTTCCCTTAACTTCCCTTAATCTCATTGAAATCCAAACACAAATATCAGAACCCCCTTACGTTTGGGTGCTTTTCAGACAACCCCTTTACTATCAGAATGTCACAAAACCCCCCCTTAAGTTTTGACGTCCTCAGAAAACCCCCTACAAGTTTCAACATTTTCCAAGAAATCCCTTTACATCGTTAGCCGAAATTTCGACGTGGGTGGTTAAAATTATGCAGAGGGATATTTTTTGCAGTGAAAATAGTGGTTTGCGCTTTTAGGGTTTTTTTTAATATTGAAAGCTGAAGGAGGTTATCTGAGAATTCAAAAAGCTTGGGGTGGGGGGTTGGGTTGACTTTTTAAAAGTTAAGGGGGGTAATTTAAGAAACGCCCTAAGTTAAGGGCGGTTCTGAAATTTACCCTTTTTTACCATTTCATTGATAGGTAGGATTATTCTTTTAAAAAAAATGGGTATTTCAATTTGTAGATCGAACTTTTGTGAAATTTAGGGGTTTTGTGGAACTCCCGAAATTTCAATTTATCTTACAAAGTTCGGGGGGGTTTGTGCAAATATGCCCAAACTTCAGGAGGATTTTCTACCAAATGCTCTAAGGTACTCAAAGAAACGCTGTATTTCTCAAAGAAGGGATACCTCTTGAAAAACACTGCCTGAAATTGTTCCTCCATCGTCATCAAGAACTCGATAGCAGCTGATTCGTTCGGTCGGCGACTCCGAAAGGAATCTCATCTCAGAGTCGAACATAACTTTTCCTCCAGGGAAATCCAAAACCTGCAAGGATCACAATGTTAAGTCCAAGATCAGAGTATTAGTATGAAGAAAAAAAAGGTAAAAATTACCGCATCAACATCGCAACAATCTATATATACATTAGTTTCATTAAAACGTAAAAAAAAATATGGCACTCTGTTTCATCAAGAACCTCCCCTGTATTTCATGAATAATAAAAAAATAAAATAAAAACCAATTTAACAATTAGAGCAGTCATAGTCTAATATTACCCGGTTACTGCGCTCAATATCACGCTGAGCTGGAACAGAGCTCTCTCTCGCTCCAACGGACATGAAACGCTCAACAGAGCCGAAACCCACCGAATTCCTCAAAGAACCAGACGAGAAATTTCCAGTGATCATCGTATTTTGATCCAAAGATTGGATCTTTTTGGTATTCTGTAAAGAGCCCATGACCCTCTTTCCAAATTGAGAGCCTAGCCTTGATCTCCCAAGCCAAACCATCATCGCCATAGGAGCAGTTCTCAGTTAACAGAAAGATTTAATTGTATATGAAGAGAGGAAAATGAATAATTTAACTTAATTTTGAAAATGAAAAAAAAAATGATGGTGTTCAAAGAATTATTGTGAAGGATAGAGATTGAGGAGTCCAGATAACAACGAGGTGGAGATGAGAGTCCACGTCGACACCATGCAAAACTGACTCATTTCATGAGAGGGGGGTTTTTTCCAACATACCCGCAGTTTTACTTTTGGCAGGGAAAGCCGGCCAAAACTGACTTTTTTTCAGAAACGCTTTTTTGGGGCTGCTTGGATCGGGTATTTTGATGGGGAAAGGAGGTGGAAAGCTGCCAATTTGACAGCTTTTTGGCAGCTTTCCCCTAAAATCGCCTCTATAAGAGACGATTTTGGGGGAAAGTTGACAAAATTACAGTTTTCCACCTCCTTTCCTCTTCAAAATAACCGATCCAAACAGATCCTTAGAAGCGTTTCTGCAAGAAAACTTGTTAAAACTGACACTTTTGACAGGTTTTCAATCCATTTCCCTCTCTAAAAGAGACAACCAAACGCGACCTAACCTTCCAACCTACCCCGAGCACAGAAGGATTACGTGTCGGCCTCTGAGCGGTTCGAGCTATAAAGCGAACGCTGTGCCGTGTGGGGCTTCGTTAAGAACGAGAGTGACTTCAATTTTGGACTTCTAGCGCTTCGAGTAAGGAAAGCGGGGTCCACACTTCCATGTGGTCCTCCACGGAGAGAACAACAACGTGCAAATTACGCTTAGATCCTTATTGTTCGTTACGGAAACTACACCTCGCACAAAGTCGCATACCGGTGAAAATAATACTCAAGGCGATGCTTGGAGCCGGAGGTTAACGTGAGGGTATCCAATGAGAGGCGCGAGGCGCTGCTTCAGGACAATCAGGCGGGGAGCTCCGGCCGACGGAAATCAGGATGCTCCGGCGCACGCCGGTGAGGCGGCGGGCGGGTTTCGAAAACGAGTAAGGATCCTGTCAGAACGTCGCCACACCGTGCGAGACGTTCCGAGCTGTGGAAATGTAAAACAGAAGGGCAGTCTTGGTATTTCGCTGTCCCGTTCCAAGGAAATCAATACCAACAATTCAAATATCTGTACGGACAGGAAATGATATTGGAGCAATTTGAAATACCGTTTGCTCCTTGGCTTATTATATAAGTCATCTCGCAAAGATTAATTTGGAAACTGTCCTTCCTCACGGTGAACATCAATTCATCTCACGGGTCAAAATTTGGAATTTTAATCTGGACGACAAAGAATTTATTGTTTTAAATATGCAAAAAATAGTGTCGAAACAACTCGGAAAGCTACAATCTACTCCTCTATACAAACAAGAGAATCCAAGATTCATCATTCATGCTAATAAACATTATCACTGTAGCAAACATGGAATTGAGCACTATGCTTTTTTAAAAAAAATATTATAGCACAAGAGAACACTGTAACAGAATTGGGATACTGTAGCAGCCAAAAAATCAAAAGAGAATGTAGCAGTTAAAACCGGAATTACTGTAGCGAGAAAAAAAAGTAGGTGTTCACACTAGTATAAATAAAGATTGAAACACAATAAATAAACAGCTAAACCGGAACATCAGCTGGATAGTCCTCTGGATGATTCTTGATCGTCTCTCGCAGCAACTTTTCTTGCTCTTGGAGATTTGAAGTAATGGTATCATAAACATCGGTGAATAATTCGCATAACGGCGGTTTTTGTGATCTCTCTGCAACCTGAATACATTGCAACATCTGCAAAAATTTCATTTATCAGCTCCCAGTCTCATGATTTATGAAATATATGTAAGGAAAACTTTCTACACAGTAACGTCGTTTATGAGAATTTTAAATAGTGCAGGGAGGTTTAGTATAATTTTGAAAGCTCAGGGGTTTCTGAAATTTACCGAAATATACACACTCAAAAGCTTAAACAAGATTTTGGTACCTCTTTTCTGACATTGTTCCTTAACTCTGAGTCAGCATCATCATTCCACCAACCATTCCCTTCTACCCATTTTCGATACCTCGAAACAGGATCTCTCGCTGTTCTCCAGTGCTCGATCTCATCAATTGTTCGATACCTTGTTGAATCATCGGATGTCGAATGATGTCCAGCTCTGTATGTCAGAGCCTAAAGCAAATTCACAATATGCACACACAAAAAAAAATCAGACTTAAAAAGAACACTAAAGCAAGATAAGAATTAGAGAGGAAATTTTCTGAACCTCAATTAGAATTGGCCTATGTTCTCGAATAGCCATTTCTCTGGCAGCATGAACAGCACTATAAACAGCAAGAGCATCATTGCCATCGACACGAATGCTTCGAATTCCATAAGCTTGACCTTTGATAACAACACCGTCACCTTAATTATAAAATCCAATGTCAGTAAAGGAACAGCCTCTTTTTTCTTATGTGAAAAATTAAGATAAGACCCACGTAATTACTTCGAAACTGCTCTGAAGTAGGAGTGCTGATGGCCCAACCATTGTTTCGACAGAAGAATATAATGGGGACTTCCATCACAGCAGCGAAGTTCATTGCAGCATGGAAGTCTCCCTTGAGAGCGAAAAACGAAGAGATTAAGAACATTCAAAGGAAAAAAAAATTCTAATGACACTTTTTACCTTCCTTGTTTTCTATATAACAATCGTGTACAAGTTTACATCGCTGATATGACCGTAGTTAGGTGAATATTGCAAACCTTAGTAGGATTTTTTTCTATAATTTCTTAAAATTTTACATGTTATACCTCACTTGTGGCTCCATCACCAAAGTAAGTGACACTGCAGGCATTTTTCTTGTCCATCTTCAGAGAATAAGCAGCTCCAACAGCTTGAGGGAGCTGTGTACTGAGAAATGTAACATGTAAGTCTAACAACTTAACAATTCAATGTTCTTAGGGTTCTAATTGTTAGTACCGTTGTTTTGAACTTACCACCCTTCTAGTTTTATTGTTGCATACACGCCCTTGAGTGATTTTTTGACTATTTCACCCTTGGAGAGAGAAAATAGTTTTTTGACAAATAGACTCTCCAAGGGTAAAGGAGCCAAAAAAAAAAGTTCGCTCATGGGATATATCTGCAACAATAAAACTAGAGAGGTAATAAGCTAAAAACAGAAATACTACAGAGGGTCTATCAGCAATTAACTCATGCTATATGATACATAAGTTCACAGCGGTAAAAATTTACTCACGCTATAGGGGACGATATCGTGAAGTAATTGAGTCTATTGCTTCCATAATGAACTGGCATCTGCCGACCTTTTCCATAGTCTGCTTTATTGCCGAAATTGCGGTCTGCAAACTCTTGCAGAGTAAAACCTCGCCATAAAAGGCCACCAGGTTCCCTATACTACAGATTAATGCAATGTTTCCTAAGATGACAGAAAGATAAAGATTTCTCAATGATCAATGCGATGAGAAAATATGGTTGCTTAATTTTCTAACCTGTGGAAAGACGATATCGTCGTCGGTTAATGCAGCTGCAGTTCCAATGTTAAGGGCTTCTTCTCCATTGCAGGCCATATAGAAAGAAATTCTTCCTTGTCTCTGAGCTTCATAGAAGATAGTATCCATGATTTGGAGGGTGACCATCTGAGTGTACATTTTTACTGCAAGCTCCTTGTTTACCTTGAAGATATTGCAACCCCGTTAAAGACCATTCTTCTCTATTCACATAACTGAGTTACATTTCGAAAACCCCTGAAGTTTCAATTTTTTTATGAAACCCCCTTGGGCTATTGGAATATTTCATGAATGCTGTTAACGATTTAGAGTAGTAAATTCAAAATTATTGCAAATCAAAATTATGAGGAATAATTTCAGTGAAGAACATTCATGTGGGATAACTGGACTCATATTTTTTGACATTTTACTCTACACATATTTCTCGTTTATGAGATTTTCCAATAGTCTCAAAGGGGTTCAGTAGAAATTTTGAAGGTTCGGGAGAGTTTTCTCTGATATGTGAAGTTCAAGGGGAATTTGAGAAATTTACCTACATAGTTCCTAGATATTCTTTAGCATAAAAATTTAGCATAAAGGATTAAGGGTTTTTTTCGATATCAGTCCCTTAAATCATTAGTATTTTGTTGCCCTTCCAATCTTCATATTTGATATTAGTCCCTCAAATTGGAGAAACGTGTTGGGTACTAGTCCCTCTGTTAGGTTTTTGGTTCAAAATCCTTAACTCTGATTTGATTTAGCCTAAGCATGGGTGTTTAATCAGCACATTCGATTAATTCACCCACCAAACCCTCATTCTCCAACCCCACCCCTTCCCACTCTCTTGTGAAGAGAAGGTGGAGCTTATGAACGAAATGGGTTCACTGTTTACTTTAATGGGTATACGGTTTGGTTATTAGGAGTGAGGGTAACTGCCCAAAATTCATGAAAAGTTTAAACATAACAGAATATTCACAAGAATTTATAACCGCAACTAACCACAGTTGACTTACCTGACACAAAGGGGTTTGCTAATTGCTATGGATCAGCAATTAATGCAAAGTAAAATATCGAGTACTACGTCAGGACTTCAACAGGGAGAGTGTTAAATGCCTAGACACAGCACAGCGGGAGGATGTATGGGTTTAACCATGGAAGAAGGAAAAGAAGTATTTTCTTATCTCTCGCTTTCTTTCTGGCAAATAATTTAGATTTGGTGGTCCCACTGTCAATTGATAAATCAGCGAGGGATTTTGTAGTGGAGAACTACAAATTGTCGAACGTTCAGCAATTATACACTAAGAATTTTATTGGGGAAAATCCAATTCGAGTGACTAATATTAAAATATGAAGATGTGAGGGACTAATATCAAAATACTAATAATGTAAGCGACTGGTATCGAAAATATTATCTAGGATATTTTAAGACAAATTTCACAGAAGCCCCCAATACTTTAGGATGTTTACGAAAACCCCCTCAATACTCTGTTTTTCTCATTAAACATCAAAACCTTTTCCCGCTTAACCCCAAAAGTCCAAGATGTCTCAGAAACTCCTCCAGAAAGGAAGGAGAAGAGAACAAGATTGTCCTTGAGAAAACAAGGGGAAAAAAAAACAAAATTTGGCAGAGAACAAGTCATCCCAACGGCAAGAGATACTATCGGGGGATTGATTGAAATTTAGCCTTTTTCTGTAAGAAATAAGAATGCATACCTCTTGAAAAACACTGCCAGAAATTGTTCCTCCATCGTCGTCAAGAACTCTATAGCAGC